CTGCCCCCCACTGAACCGCGCCTGACCCCCCACAACTTGGCCTCCCCAACCTGGTGCCCTGCAGGAGGCCGCGCTTCGGGTCCACCACATCCCCGAGGACCCTGGCCACCTGGAGCTGTGCCCGCTGCCCCCTTCCTTGAAGGCCTGTGACACCTGGCCTGGGGGCAAGGCTGGGAGTGCTGTGATTTCGGAGGAGGGCAGAAGCCCTGGGTCTGGCGAGGCCACACCAGAGGCCTGGGTCATCCGGGCTCTGCCGCGGGCCCAGGAGGTCCTGAAGATCTACCCTGGCTGGCTCAAGTGAGATTGGGCCCGAGGCTCAGGGTCTGCTGGGCGGGGTGGGGGGAACTCCAGCTCACGCTGCGTCCTCACAGGGTGGGCGTGGCCTATGTATCCGTGCGAGTGACCCCGAAGAGCACGGCCCGCTCCGTGGTGCTGGAGGTCCTGCCGCTGCTCGGCCGCCAGGTGTGTACCCTGGGCCTGCTCCCCATCCTGGCCAGACTTGGTTGGGGGTCACTGTCCCAAGGAGGCCAGGCCACCATCCCAGCCCAGGCGTGGCTGTCCCCGTGGGTGTCCTGAGGTGGTGGGGGCCTGCCCAGACCTGATGCCAAGCTCTGCCCCAACAGGCCGAGGGTCCTGAGAGCTTCCAGCTGGTGGAGGTGGCGATGGGCTGTAGGCAGGGTGAGTAGACGGCCCGTGCTGGGTGTGGCGGTCCCTGCACCTTTTGGGTTTGGGCCTGCTGCCCAGGCTCTCCTGCAGGGTGGTGCGGGACATCAAGACCGGGCCCTGTCCTCCTGCCCAGTTCCACCCTGCATCCCCATGGGCCCTGGGGGCTCAGGGCAGCTGTTTCCAAGGTGGGCAAGGAGCCTGGTGCTGACGGCCTGTGTCTCTCACCTCTGCAGTCCAGCGGACAGCGCTGATGGACGAACAGCCGTTGCTGGACCGGCTACAGGACATCCGGCAGGTCAGTGGGTGTGGACACTGGCCCCCAGGGAACCGGCAGCTCTCAGCCACAGCCTCTGCCCCACAGGGTGGGTGTGCCCCAGACGCCAGGTTCTTCTTGGCTAGGCAGCGGCTGTCCTGGCTGGCAGGGCAGTGCCCTCTGTCATAAGTTACTTGGTCCCTGCAGGGATGCCTTGAGCTGCAGACCTCTCCGAGTTCCTTGAGGGGAATGGACAGGGGTTATCCACAGCAAGGAAGCCTCTTTGGCCCCTTTGCTCGTTTTCATGTTGACTTAATTCCTGGGAGTGTTCCTGACACCCCGTTTTGCTGTTTTGCGGGTGAGGAGGCGGAGGGCCTGGTGCAGTGGTGCCGTTCTCCCCGGCCCAGCGTCCCCGCCCCTCTCCCTGCAGATGTCCGTGCGACAGGTGAGCCAGACGCGGTTCTACGTGGCAGAGAGCAGGGATGTAGCCCCGCACGTCTCCCTGTTTGTTGGCGGCCTGCCTCCCGGCCTGTCCCCCGAGGAGTACAGCAGCCTGCTGCATGAGGCCGTGGCTACCAAAGGTGTGACCACCGTGGCTGGCCGTGGGCTGCTGGCTGGGGGCAGGGTCCGGCGGCAGGCAGTGGGGCTGCAGTGCTGAGGCCAGCTCCTGCCTCTCCTTGAGCCACCGAGGCCCAACCTCCAGGTCCAGCCCACGTCCCTTCCTCCAAGAGGCTGTGTAGCCTCCCGCCCTCTGTGGCCCTTCCCTGTGGTGCTCAGCCTCTGCCTCTCCCTCTCCCTCTGGGGGGCCCTGGACCTTCGGGGAGCTGGGAGTCCTGCTCTTAGAGTGGGGCAGGGGTGCTTTCTGGGGAGGCTGCCCTTGGGGTGAGACGTCACCCCTGAACAGGCGGAGGGGCTGTCCCTGGCCCCCGTGCGGTACGTCCTTCACCTCCCACCGCCCTGACTACAGCCCACCTTTGCAGCCACCGTGGTGTCTGTGAGTCACGTCTACTCCTCCCAAGGTGAGCCGCCCTGATGGACGTGGTCACATGGGGCCCAGGGGTGTTCCTGGGGTGAAGTGGGACAGCTCTGGCCCTCACGTAGCACCTGACCTTTCCCTTGGACAGCCCTGGGCTGGGGAAACCCTGGTTTGCTTCCTGCCCTGGCACCGTGGGGGCTATGGGACAGGCTCCCCTGAGTCCCGGGCCCCTACCACAGGCGCAGTAGTACTGGATGTCACCTGCTTTTCGGAGGCCGAGCGGCTGTACGTGCTGCTCAAGGACATGGCTGTGCGGGGCCGGCTGCTCACTGCACTGGTGCTCCCCGACCTGCTGGTGAGTGAGCGGTGGAGCCGGCTCTTCACACACCCCGGGGGTGGCGAGAGGGAGGTCCGGGTCTTCAGGTGCACAGGCCCCACAGCCAGACTCGCTCTTTTCCTCTGGCATCTCTTCATCGAATTCACTGGGGGCTCGTAGGTGCCACCTTGTCTGTGCCTCACAACAGCAGGGAGGACGCTGTTGCCCGTTTTACAGCAAAGGGCCTGAGGCCAGAGGGTCAGCGCTCATCCGAGGCTGCCCAGTGGGTGATACCAGCTCCGTGGGGCACCGCGGGGCCAGGCCCAGCTTCCACGCTGCACCTGAGGCCTCCACCCAGTAGGGAGGCAGCTCCTGGATGCGCTGGGTCCTGCTGCGGCTGCCTCACCAAGGGCCAGAGCGTGTTTGTGACCAGCTGTCAGCATCCCAGGCACGGCCCTCCCGGTACAGCCTCAGCCCCACTCCCCCTGCCCAGGGGGACGTAGGGCCTCTGCTCTCTGCCTGGAGCTCCCCAGGCCAGTCAGTGCAGCTCCCAAACTTTGGACGCTGTCCTTAAGACCCACAGTGCCCAGAAGAGGGGGCACCTGGCAACAGGGTAGGGCTGGGAGAAAGGGGGATCCAGCCCATGGAGACAGGGCAGGGCCGGGCCAAAGGGGAGTCTGGCCCATGGAGACGGGGCAGGGCCAGGCGAAAGGGGGGTCTGGCCCATGGAGACGGGGCAGGGCCGGGCGAAAGGAGGGTCTGGCCCATGGAGACGGGGCAGGGCCGGGCGAAAGGGGGGTCTGGCCCATGGAGACGGGGCAGGGCCGGGGGAAAGGGGGGTCTGGCCCATGGAGACAGGGCAGGGCCGGGCCAAAGGGGAGTCTGGCCCATGGAGACGGGGCAGGGCCAGGCGAAAGGGGGGTCTGGCCCATGGAGACGGGGCAGGGCCGGGCGAAAGGGGGGTCTGGCCCATGGAGACGGGGCAGGGCCGGGGGAAAGGGGGGTCTGGCCCATGGAGACAGGGCAGGGCCGGGGAAATGGGGGTCTGGCCCATGGAGGGACTCCACGCTGCACACCGTGCCTTCATAGTGGCCTCTCATTCTCTGCCCATCCAGCCCCCAAAGGGTCCCACGAGGACCCCCAGGTGTCTATGGCTGCTCTGCCCCTGAACCCTGACCCTTGACCCTGACCCCAGTCCAGACGAAGCAGAACTTGATCTGAATGAGTTGTCTGTGGCTGGGACGGGTGATGCCTGTGGGTCCCTCCTGTGTCCCTACACCTGGCCTTGCCTGGCTCAGGACAGGGTGGCCATCCCCACGATCCCGAAGATGCAGCCCCTGCCCCAGCCCCACTCGCTCTGTGGGCAGAGCCAGGTGTGGGGCCGACACGTGCTTTCTCTCTCCCGTCAGCTGCCTGCCCTGGGGTGAGTGGTAAGTGGTGACCGCAGGCGGCTGTGCCTGCCAAGTGGGTCACGAAGCCCCGAGTGTGTCCTTGCCCCCAGCCACGGCTGGCCCCTGTGCCGCCGCCCACCCTGTGTCTGCACCCGGCCTGTGTGTCTCCTGTTGCCCAGCCGTCCCCGCTGTGGGGGCTCCAGCCTCCTGTTATAGGGACCCCAGCCCTGAGCCCGCTGTGTCTAGATCCCTGGGTACTGTTTCTTGGGGTTGTGTTTGGGGAGATGGGCTCTGTCCTGTGGCTGAAGGACTCTGCGTGCCACTCTGTGAGTTAAGAGCTTTTCTCGGCTGCTGTGTAGGTGGGTGGGGGCCTGGGAGCCGCCATCCTCCAAAGGTGTGCACAGGAGGCCCCCCAGGAGACAAGCCTTGGTCTCGCAGGCAAGGAGTGCCAGGCAGAGTCCCATGTGGATTTCCAGCCTGGACTCACAGGCTGCATGGCCCAGGCGAGTGTGGTCTGTTCACACTCAGCTCAGTGGGCATGTCCGAGGCCTTTGTGCTGGGAGCACCAGGCAGCCAGCCGGCTGGCCTCAGTGCCGCCCTGCTGGCCAGCAGCGAGATGGGGTGACCACGTAGCTGATGTGTGATGCTTCTTATGTGAGGCCAGCTACAGCTGGCCACGCCTTCCTGGGGAGGGGGCTGGTCCAGGCCAGGTGGGCTCAGGGTTGGGGGCTGGGCACTGCCTGGCAGCCCCAGCAGTGGGGACACCCTACCTTGGGTCCCCATCCTAACCCAGCCCCCTGTCTGTCAGCACGCGAAGCTGCCCCCAGACAGCTGTCCCCTCCTTGTGTTCGTGAACCCCAAGAGTGGAGGCCTCAAGGGCCGAGACCTGCTCTGCAGCTTCCGGAAGCTACTGAACCCTCACCAGGTCTTCGACCTGACCCACGGGGGTCCCCTTCCTGGGTGAGTCCAGCAGGACCCCTGGTCCAGGGCAGCAGTAGGGGCAGGAGGGGTGGGAGGGGCCCCAGGAGGCTGCCACAGCTGTCTCGGCTGGCAGGAGCTCCACTGGGATCCCGTGCTGGGACCTTGAAGTCCTCCACATGGCCAGGACGGGCATTGAAAAGGAAGGGGCAGCCCGGGTGGGGGATGGGCTGCGCCCACAGCTGCTGGAGAACACTTCCTGTCTCCTGCTAGGCTCCACCTGTTCTCCCAGGTGCCCTGCTTCCGGGTGCTGGTGTGCGGTGGCGACGGCACTGTGGGCTGGGTGCTCGGCGCCCTGGAGGAGACACGGTACCGACTGGCCTGCCCGGAGCCTTCTGTGGCCATCCTGCCCCTGGGCACAGGTGGGGTCAGCCATGCAGCCGAGGAGGGGGCCTCAGGGTCTACCCCTTCCTGCGCAGCTTTTGCTGAGGCCTGGGCTGGCGTCTGTCCCTGTGGTGGGGTCTGCAGCTGGCTGATGGGCGGGTGGGTGTGGACAGATGCTCTGTGTCTGCCTGTGTCCCAGGGAATGACCTTGGCCGAGTCCTCCGCTGGGGGGCAGGCTACAGCGGCGAGGACCCGCTGTCCGTGCTGCTCTCCGTGGACGAGGCCGACGCCGTGCTCATGGACCGCTGGACCATCCTGCTGGACGCCCACGATGCTGCCAGTGCAGAGAATGGCACCGCAGACGCAGAGCCCCCCAAGGTACAGGGTGGCCCGGCGTGGGGTGCCCTTCAGGCTTCCGCATATGACCTGGTCACACGTGTCACAGTGGGCATCCTCCTCCCAGCCACACACAGACGTATGCACCCACATCATCCCCTTTGCAAAGTAGGCAGTTGAGGGAGGCACAGAGAGTGGCCACTGCTGGGAATCGTGCTGAGCCAGCTGGCGACAGAGCCTGGCCGGGACCTGCCCACGCTGCCCTCTCCTGGGTGGTGGGCTTGTTGCCAGGGTGGCCCTTGCTCTTGTCTCTTCCTGCCGGCAGGAGGCAAAAAACTAGACCTGCTGTTGGGGAGCTCAGGGGGCCTGGTGAGGGCGGCAGGGTCCTGGGAGATGAACGCCCTGTCCCCAGATCGTGCAGATGAGTAACTACTGTGGCATTGGCATCGATGCGGAGCTGAGCCTGGACTTCCACCAGGCGCGGGAAGAGGAGCCTGGCAAGTTCACAAGCAGGTACCGGAGCCGCAGGGACTGCCATCTGGTGACAGCATACCTTCCTCGGGTCCCCCAGCAGGGATAGGCAGAGGGGCTGCCACCTGGTGATGGCATACCTTCCTCGGGTCCTCCAGCAGGGATACGCAGAGGGGCCGCCACCTGGTGATGGCATACCTTCTTCAGGTCCTCCAGCAGGGAGGGGCCGCCACCTGGTGACGGCATACCTTCCTCGGGTCCCCCAGCAGGGTTAGGCAGAGGGGCTGCCACCTGGTGATGGCATACCTTCCTCGGGTCCCCCAGCAGGGAGGGGCCGCCACCTGGTGATGGCATACCTTCCTCGGGTCCCCCAGCAGGGACAGGCAGAGGGGCCGGAATGCGGAGGCTGCCTAAGGCGGGGTAGCGCTCCCCCAGTGATGGGCAGCCCGCCCTGTCCCGCAGGCTGCACAACAAGGGTGTGTACGTGCGAGTGGGGCTGCAGAAGATCAGTCACTCTCGGAGCCTGCACAAGCAGATCCGGCTGCAGGTGGAGCGGCAGGAGGTGGAGCTGCCCAGTATCGAAGGCCTGATCTTCATCAACATTCCCAGGTGCTCACGGGCTCCCCAGAAGCTCTGCCAGGCGGGGCCACCGGCAGGCTCAGCCCTCGTCCCGCCTGCACCTACACCTCTGTGTCCGCTTTCTTATGCCGCAGCTGGGGTTCCGGGGCCGACCTTTGGGGCTCAGACAGTGACGCCAGGTTTGAGAAGCCGCGCATGGATGATGGGCTGCTGGAGGTGGTGGGCGTGACGGGCGTCGTGCACATGGTGAGCCGCCGCCCGGGTGTGTGGGCGAGCCCAGGGTGGTGTCCCTGGTCCCCACTGAGCCCAGCTGGCCTCTCCTGCTCCAGGGCCAGGTCCAGGGTGGGCTGCGCTCTGGGATCCGGATTGCCCAGGGTTCCTACTTCCGGGTCACACTCCTCAAGGCCACCCCGGTGCAGGTGGACGGGGAGCCCTGGGTCCAGGCCCCGGGGCACATGATCATCTCAGCTGCTGGCCCTAAGGTACGTGGGGTGAGGCTGGAGAACCAGGAGAGGTGGGCCAGGCTGGGCCGGTTGTGGGAGTGGCCGGTGGTACCTGGGTGGTGCTGGCATGGCCTGCTGCGGCCCTGGTCTTCCTTGACTCCGGGGAGGGTGCCTGCCTCAGAGGAAGGCTGTGCCAGCGGTCAGGCAGGCCACAGGTGGCACAGGGAGCAGCCAGGCAGGTCCCTCCCCTTCCATGAACTGAGATGGCGTCAGCTGCCCGGGGCCCAAGGACTTGGGGCTGCCCGTGCACTGTTCTTTCATCGGCCGTGTCACCCTGGCCCTCTGCCCCCTGCCCTGGGACAGGTCCACATGCTGAGGAAGGCCAAGCAGAAGCCGAAGAGAGCCGGGACCACCAGGGACGCCCGGGCGGACGCGCCTGCCCCTGAGGGCGATGCTAGGTAGGGGTGGCTGAGGCAGCCCAGGGGCTCGAGCCGTCTCTGCCTCCGCCTCCGCCAGCCTTGTTTTCAGTTGGTCTAGAGGCAGCTCCACGTCCACACCGTGGCCGGCCTTGTGGTTGGACCTGGCTACAGCCCTGACCGCATCATCTTCATGGGGCCAGAGCAGGACCAGCCCTCATCCCACTGGAGACTGCTGTGTGGGTGGCAGTGTTTCCCCGTGTCCCGGGTGGGCACAGGGCTCTGGCGGGCGAGCCCTCTGCCCTGTGGGGGCCTGGTCCTCTCCTCAGGGGTGGGCACTCATCCCTCCATACCTCTCCCTGCCAAGCCCCTTGAGCTGGAGAGTGCTGGACGCTGGCCGTCCAGGTGGGTCTGACCTCGCTTTGTGTCCCTCAGGCCTTCCCCCTGGCCAGTCTTTCAGAGCAGCAGGCTCCCTGGTGTGTCCTTACCCCCAGCAGACACAGGCTGCCAGCCCCTCCAGCCTCCCCTCCCCGGGCAGCAGGTGTGGGCAGTCCCTGGTGGGCAGCGTCGGGCTGCTGGGTGGTTGTGACTGGTGACTTCCTTGTGTTGGGGAAAGAGAGAAGGTGCCTTCCCTTGTTTTCGGCCTTGTTATATACAGATGGCAGCTTGGACCCCAGGGACAGCTGCAGGGGCACAGTGCCCAGCTGGGCCTGGTGGCCCTTTCCTAGTGCCTGTGCTGGGGGAGGAGAACCTCTGTCGTGTGGAGGCCAGGAGGTCTCAGGTGCTGTCCTGGCAGCACCAGAATGTGGGCCGGGCCCAAGTGTCTGCCCCTCGGCCCTCAGGGTGGGGCATTTAGCACCCAGAAGAGACCAAAAGCAGGACATGGCGGTGCGGAGGAGTTTGTGGAGGCGGAGACAGCTCCACGCATGTGGCGGAGGAGCTGGCTTTCAGCCCCAGACCCCACGCTAGCACTTTCCACGCTGCTTGCTCCCTGCTGACATGCAGTTCCCAGTGTGTGTGTGAGCCGACATCTGCTCAGTCCTATCCCTCGTCAGCATGTGGAGACCCAGCTCCTGCAGCACCCCTGCTCCCACGTCCCTCAGACAGCTTGGTGGAGGGTCCTGCGTCTGGGCCAGGCTGGGGTGCACCCAGTCAAAAGACAAAGCTGCCTGCACGTGCCCAAGGATTCAGATGGTGCACTGGCCCCAGGAGGAGTCTCACCAAAAATGGAGCCAGCCCTGTGGGAAGCCCTGACTCCCCCCACGAGAAACAGGCCCACGGTGAGGATGTCCCCCTTCCCCTTGTGGGGCACAGCTGGCCTGGGCCTCCGATTCTGCGGAGCTTTCGGGGTGTGGCCTTGACCTCAGAAGTGGCTCTGGTTTGGCCTCAGGAGTGTGTGGCCTGGCCCAGCCTGCTGCAGCCTCCTGGGGGACCCTTGGTGCCACTAATCCTGACCCCCCCGCTTCTGCCAAAACTGCACAGACACATGCATTGTAAGGCCTGCTCACGGCCTCACGTGTGCACTCTTGTTTACGTCCTCGTCAAGACCAGTCCTTCATTTGTGATTAGTTTTGCTTCGCGAGCCCTGGTGTGGACTGTGGTGTGTATGAATCGTGTGTAACTGGTGAGGGGCTTGTCCTGTATGTGAATGAGTCTGTACCCAGGTGAGCTCTGTGCCCTGTACACCAACCGGGCCCCTCTGTATTTATCGCTGCCTGAATGCAACAGTAATTTATATCTGGGACAAATACAGTTTGGGCATCACTGTCCTGCCATCTCTTCCTCATCTTTGTGTCAACAACCTGGCATGGCATCCCCTGCCCCCGCCGCCAGCTCTGTATAGGCCTCGAAGGGGCTGGGAGTGGGCAGTCCCTCGGGTGGGTGGGCTTGGTAACGTGTCTTCAGGTTGGAGAGTGGATAGGCAAATGCCATAAGGCACATTTCAAGTTCCTGTGAAGCCCCTCTCTCTGCAAAAAGTGGAGAACAATTTGAGGACTGAAATAGAGCATATTTCACAATGAAAATAAAACCCGACCACGCAAGAACCACTGTGGCTTGCCCGCGACTCGGCTTCCCCTGCCCGGCGTCCTGTCCTCCCTGGTCCATCTCTGGTGGGGATGGCAGGGAGCGCGCTCTGTGGCCGCTAGCAGGGGGCAGGGAGGAGCTGGGACTGTGCGTCGTCCTGGCGCGTAGGGGCTGGTGGTGGGTGTTCAGGCCGGGCGATGCCACGCAGGACCCGCAGGCTGGCCAGGGCCAGGCCCACGAGCAGGCGCAGCAACAGGAAGGCGCAGGGCACGGCGATCTGCATGAGGTGGAAGATGCCCACGCTGAACCTGCTCAGCAGACAGGTGGAGGCGAAGGCCAGCAGACTGGCGCAGGGGTACAGGGCCAGCTTCGCGAACATGAGCGCGTGCTCCCGGCCGCCAAACCACACTGAGGGCTGCAGCGTCTCCGCCTGGTGCAGCAGCGCCGTGGTCCAGATGGCAAACTGGAAGATGCTGGCCAGGAAGATGATGGCGCAGCTGACGCGCACACGCTCCAGCTCGTCGCGGGGCTGCCGGGCGAAGGCCGAGGTCTGCTGGTAGGCCAGCGGGAGGCCGCCCACAAAGGCCAGCGAGAGCGTGTTCAGCAGCCCCATGGCCCGCGTGGCCTTGCGCACGTGCAGGAAGAGGGAGTGGTGGGCGAACCACAGCAGCCCCACCGTGGCGAAGGAGCCAAAGTACGCCAGGAAGCGCGGCCCGGTCGCGCTCAGGGCAGCCACGAGGCTGCCGCCGAACCTCTCCTTCACTTCCTTGGGGTCCGGGACGTTGTCTTCGCTGAGAACAGTGAACAGAGGCATTTGTGCCGGCCTCACCATGGCCCACGCAGGCCCCGGCGGGGTGGGCTGAGCGCCTGTCAGGGCTGCCTGGACCCGGCACATGGTGCAGATGAACCATGTGGACTTTCCAGTGGGCGAAATTTCAGAATGCTGTATTTATGTATATTTGGCATGCTGACCATTATGTGCTGTCCATCTGCAATTCCACAGAAACTGGCACCCTTCTGCTCTGTGCTAACGGGAGCCCAGTCCTGCTGGCCCAGAGTGCTGCTGGGGGCCCTGGGCTGCAGCCCTCTCTGGCCGAGGCTCTCCTGCGTCGGCTGTGCAGGAGCAGCCTGCCGTGGGGCAGTGAGGTCTGTTCCCTCCCAGCTTCCAGCCCTCGGAGCCACCCACACCACACCCTGGCTGAAGATCCGTGGAGAGCTTGCCTCCATGGTTCTCAGATGCACACAGGGTCTCAGGAGGCCGACTCCCAGGCCGGACTCTGCAGCCCCAAGGAGGCTATGGGAACCACCCCCAGGGCTGCTGCCTTCTGACAGCACCACCCAGAAAGCTGGGAACAGTGTCATCTTTCAACATCAAGACATGGAGGACAGTGGTCCTCAAGCAGCCCCGACCAGACTTCTGTCCTCCAGAACAATAGGCAGAGGTCAAGGGGGTGAGGGACGGGGGTGGGAAAGGAGACAGACCAGGGGCAGCAAGGGAAGGAAGTTGCTGGGAGGGGGCAGCTCCCCTGGCTGTGGCTCCAGGTGGAGGGGAGGTCACTGTCCCAGCCCTACACTGCAGCCTCTCCTTGGCAGGTCCCTCCCAAGGGGGCCTGAGCTGGCCTGGTCACCCTGGAGGCAGGTCACCCTGGAGTGTCCCTGGCACCTGGGCCTTAGAGATCAGGTGCCAACGAATGCTTCCCATTCTTAAAAATGCACACGACAGCAGAGAAGAGCATCAGGAGGCTTGGACTGAAGAATATCAAGTACAGAATATAAAACCATAGTGTCTGACCCCAAGGAGATCAAAGTGCTGAACTATGACGGGAGAACAAGACACTCCAAAAGAATGTTAAAAAGCAAATTCAAACATTACGACAGCCAGGCGCGATGGCTCACGCCTGTCATCCCAGCACTTTGGAGGCTGAGATGGGTGGATCACCTGAGGTCAGGAGTTCAAGACCAGCCTGGCCAACATGGTGAAACCCCGTCTCTACTAAAAACACAAAAAGTTAACTGGGCGTGGTGGTGGTGGGCGCCTGTAATTCCAGCTACTTGGGAGGCTGAGGCGGGAGAACTGCTTGAACCTGGGAGGCAGAGGTTGCAGTGAGCTGAGATTGAGCCACTACACTCCAGCCTGGGTGACAGAGCAAGACTGTAAAAACAAAAAACAAAACAAAAAACCCACAAAAAACAACGTGACGACTAAGATAAGCACTCTAACAGATGAAGTGGTGGTGAGGCAGTGGAGAACAGATGCTGGAAGGAAGCAACAGCAGGCCGAGGGGAGCGGGAGGGGCTGGGAGGCAATGTGGGGGACTGGGAGGCGATGGCGGGGGCTGGGAGGCGATGGGGGGGACTGGGAGGGAGCAGGAGGGAATAGGAGGGACTAGGGACCAGGAGGGGCTGGTGCTGGGGCAGGGGTGAGGCCTGGGGTAGGGTGATACCCATGGATGTCAGCCCCTCTGGAAAGAGTGAGGAGAGCAGTTGGCGGCTGGTGCTGACCTCGCCCTGGCACCCCATCGCCGGCCTGCACTTGGGGTGGGAGCCACTGGGAAGGGAGGGACCGCTGGGGGGGTTGTCCTCCCTGAAGTGGGGGCTGCCCTAACCTCACACAAAACTCCAGGCATCCAGGGGAGGGTGGAGTCGAGACCCCTGTGCCTTTCTGGGGTTTCCAGGACTCAGACACACTGGCCGCCTGACAGCTGGGGCAGGTGACGCAGGGTCCTCACCAGATGTCCAGGATGAGAAGGGTGGCCACGATGGCATAGACGCCGTCGCTGAAGGCTTCTACCCGCTCCTTGCTGAGTGGCTCGTGGAGGTCAAATGTGAAGACTTCCACTGGGTGAGCCGAGGGCTCCCTATGGCCTGTGGACACGCCAGGAGGGGGGAGCTGACCAAGCCCCCCAAGTGGAGCCAGAGCCCACATGGCTGTCACTGCCCTCATCTCTGAAGAGGCCTGGAACGTGCAGGCCAGGAGAGGAGACAGGACAGGGATGCTCCGAGAGGCAGAGTGTGGGAGCCCCAGCTACCACCACGCACGGGCCTCGGCCCACGGACAGCCCTTGGTGTGGAGCAGCCACAAGGAGGGGGGCGGACTGTGGGCCTCGCACGCCCGCCCACCCAGCCATCACCCAGCCACACGGAGGGGGGCGCACTGTGGGCCTCGCAGGCCAGTCCACGCAGCCATCACCTACCCAGGAGCCTGTCTCTGCACCAGCCGGTGACCTTGCTGACGTAAGGGAGGAGGATGACAGTCACCATCAGCAGGTAAGACTGCAGGGAGACAAACCACAGGTCAGTGCCTTCCACAGGGGGCCGAGGCCAGGCCTCATCCACACAGAGCTGTGTGCCAAAGCAGGGCAGTGCCCTCCACAGGGGGCCGAGGCCAGGCCTCATCCACACAGAGCTGTGCGCCAAAGCAGGGCAGTGGCAGAAGGCAGGGTCTTTGCAGATCATGTGTCTGATAAGGCCTAGTACCCAAAAAGTGTAAAGAATTCTTAAGCCAGCAGTGGCTCATGCCTGGAATCCCAGCACTTTAGGAGGCTGAGGCAGGTGGATCGCTTGAGCTCAATCGATCGAGACCAGCCTGGGCAACACAGTAAGACTGTATCTCTACGAAACATAAAAAATTATCCAGGCGTGACCGTGCGCCTGTTGAACCTGGGAGGTAGGGGTTGCAGTGAGTGGTGATCCAGCTCACTGTACTCCAGCCTGGGTAACAGAGCAAGACCGTGTTTTAAAAATTTATCGTCTATCTACCTATCTGAAATTCTCACAACAATAAAAAATGACCCAATTAAAAATGGGCAAAGGATGAGAACAGACATTTCTCCAAACAAAACATGCAAATGGTCAACCTGTCGCAGATCAAAACCACAATGAGATTCCTTCATATCCACTAGGATGGAGAGAAATGAAAAACAGCAGGTGTTGATGAGGATGTGGAGAAACTGGAAGTGCCGTGTGCTGCTGGTGGGAATGCAAAATGCTGCAGCTGCTGCATTTTGTTTGGTGGTTCCTTTGGTGGTTCCTCAAAAAATTAAATTTAAGGCCGGGCGCGGTGGCTCAGGCCTGTAATCCCAGCACTTTGGGAGGCCGAGACGGGCGGATCACGAGGTCACAAGATCAAGACCATCCTAGCTAACATGGTGAAACCCCATCTCTACTGAAAAAATACAAAAAACTAGCCGGGCGAGGTGGCGGGCGCCTGTAGTCCCAGCTACTCCGGAGGCTGAGGCAGGAGAATGGCGTGAACCCGGGAGGCGGAGCTTGCAGTGAGCGGAGATCTGGCCTCTGCACTCCAGCCTGGGCGACAGAGCGAGACTCCGTCTCAAAAAAAAAAAAAAAATTAAATTTAAAAAACTAAGCAGAGAATCACCAAATGACCCAGAAACTCAATGCTGGGCACACGCGCCAATAGCCTGAGAAGACAGATCTGAACAGCAGCCTGAGAAGACAGATCTGAAGAGACACGTGTCCAGCTCAGAGAGGCATCACTCCATCAGTGCCCACAGTGGCACCACTCACGACAGTGCTCACAGCGGTGTCACGGCAGCTACACGTGTCCAGCAACGGTCACAGCAGCATCACTCACAACAGCTGGTGCACTTGCCCAGATCCCCATCCACGGATGAGTGGGCCCACATGACGTGGCACGAGACTCACAATGGACTATTTTTGGGCCACAGAGAAGGAACGCGGTTCTGACACGGGTGATAACATGGGTGAATCTTGACAACAGTATGTTAAGTTTAAGAAGCCAGACACGAAAAGGCCACACACTGTGTGAGTCTCTGCATATGAAGAATCCAGAACACACAAGTTCACGGACACAGAAAGTGCGTCTGGCTCCCAGGGACTAGCGTGGCGCAGGGGATGCGGAATGGGGGGACGGCTCCTGGGTGCTGGGTTTGTACTGCAGGTGATGACAGGTTCAGAACAGGAGAGAAGGGGTGCCTGCATACAATGCGAATGCACTCCGCGCCCCTCAAGTGAGCACTTCGTATGGTTATGATGGTAAATATGTGTATTTTACCAAATGTAATTTAAAAAGGGAGCACAGAGGACCAGACCGTGTGAGTGTCCTGGTCCTGAGAGGCCTGTGTCTTTGCACTCAGCCCTGCGGAAGTGCTCAGGCTAGTGCAGCCAACACACGAGCGACAGCCCCAGGCCTTACTCCCACCCTGGGCGTGGCACTTCCACAACTCCTCGCAGGCGGCTCCTGGCCTGGGCCATGCTGTCCGCCCTCCCCATCACGTGGCCCCAGTTGGCAAGATGGACCCCTCCAGTTCACCACAAGGGTGAGAACAACACAGACATCAAGGCCAATTCCAGACACGTTCATGATCCAGTTCGCAGGCTTCAAGTAACCAACACACGATGAGGGAAGTGCCTCTAGGTGCCAGGTGGGAGTGAGCAGGACGTCCTAGCAGGAGGCAGCCAGCACCCTGGGGTCAGCAGGTCGGGGGAAGTGCTGTGGAAAAGCAGGGAAAGAAACTAGGGAGGAGGTAGCCCATCTTGGGGGTAGGCAGGGGGGTCTGGGGGCTCGCAGTGTAGGGTCGGGGAGGGCCTGGGGACGGGGACCATGCAGAGTGCGGGAGGGAAGGTGGAGGCAGCTGCTGCTACAGGATGCAGGACACGAATGTCAGAGGCCCAGGGCAGAGCCCAGGACCCATGTGGTGTGTGCTACAACAGGAGGGCTCAGTGGCCAAGGTCATCCAGGGGAGGTGGGGACGGCATGGCCCACGGCAGTGAGAGGCTGGGCCTGGAGGACAGAGCCCACCGTCTGGGTGGAGGCTGGGGGGGCAAAAGGACACCTGCGGGTCTGTCCCAATGACATGCAAGGGTGGAGGGCTGCAGGGCTGCAGCCAGGAAGGTCTGACAGTGTGGACAGAAGGAGGCCAGTGTGGGGTGAAAGCCCCAAGGTGCGGGGGCCGAGCAGAGGGACCAGAAGAGATGGAGGAGCAGATGCAGAGGGGCCTCGCGAAGACCCTGCAGCTGTGGAGGATGAAGCCGGGATGCGGCACCGAAGGCTGAGGATGGACCGTTGCCGTCAGTGCCACAGAGAGCAAGGTGGCTGCCGTGGCCTGGCCCCTCCCTCTGGAGTCCTGGAACTGCTGACAGCTTGGGCCTCCCAGCCCCACCCCTGGAACCCTCCTTCCTAGAGTCTGCTGGTTCCCCTTTCGCCTCCCATCCAGGCTTCCCTGGGCCAGCTGCGGGAGGTGAGGGCACGGTCACCACAGGCTGCTCACCCTCCCCAACACCGCACCTGCTCGTGGGCAGCTGGGCCGGGCTGTCCTGTGCTTCTCACCTCCAGGTCTGGCCCCAGGTCAGCCTCAGGCCCTCAGGCTTGCTGGCCACTCACCTGCCCTCAGCCCCTCCAGGCCCACGTCTGGGCCCTGTGGCAGGTGTGGCCACCCTGCCCAATCCCAGCCATGGGTGCTGTGCCTTGGCTGTGTCCTCCACATGATGGCTATCCCCTAGCCTGGGTCCTGATCTCATCAGCCTGCCTGTCTCCTGTCACTCGGCCACTACCAGAAGTGGCTGTCCCACCTCTGAAACCAGGACTGCCCCAGACCGGCTGCCCCTTACCCTTGCCCACTGTGCTGGCCACCCATCCACCTGCCTCTGCCCAGGGCTCAGCCCCCCTGCCTTCTGCCCAGAGCCCCTGCCCCTGCTCTGACCTCACAGAGGCTGCAGTTGAGGACGCCCGCCTCTCCTGCCGGTGCCTGTGGGTGGCCCACCCTCCCTGAGGAAGTCCCTGGCCTCCAGCCTGCCCCATACCCCGACCCCCACATCTCCCTGGCATCTCCTCCCCTGTTTCACAAGCATCAAATGCATCCAGTCTAAGACCCAAGCAGTGCAGCAGCCACAGCCCCTGGGACTCACAGGCCACCCCCCAATTCTGGCCCGGTGCTCCCGCTGGGCTTAGCTATGCCCAGCCTGTGGGCCTCCGACACTCTGGAGCCAGCCCTGCTCAGCTCCCCAGCTCGAGCCCCTCTCGGTGGAGGAGACGGCCTGCCCAGGCCTCTAGTGAGTGAGGCAGCAGCACCAGGCCCTCACTGTTGTGTTGTTTTGTTTCTTTAGAGACCGGGTCTTGCTGTGTTGCCCAGGCTGGAGTATGGTGGCTATTTGCAGACACAATCCCTCTATTGATCAGTACGGGAGTTTCGACCTGCTCCACTTCCACCCTGGGCTGGCTCCACACTCCTTGTGCAACCTAGTGGTTCTCTGCTCCCAGAATCACCATACTGATGCCAAACTTAGTGTGGACATCCGACTGGCATGGCCGAGAACTACAGCCAGAACTCCCCGGCGCCCGCGGTCCCCCTGCGTCAGCCTCCCAAGTAGCTGGGACGATAGGTGCGTCACTGCCATCTGGCTGCCGTTTGTTTTAAACTTGGGATTCTTCTGAAATGTTTACTAAACATTTAAAATAACCACCATTCATTTCTCCACAATTCTTATGGTGCTTTGAGTTTAAAAATTCAATTTACTTCAAAGGTGCTCAAGCTGGTCCAGCTGTCACAAATAAAAGCTGCTACTGAAAGCAACTCTGAAACGGCTGCCTCTTAGGGGTTTCTCTCTGTTCCTGGGTGATGGTGGCGTTACTAGAATGATGGTCTTATCCTATTAAAATCAGCCATTGGCTTAAAAAACCCAAGTGAGCAGACCTCGGTCTTTGAGCTAAGAGGCTCCCAGTTGTCTTTTACCTGAGTGAGGGCTGCTAGGAGGCCCTGCTCTCTGCCGGCCCCGCCCCCGCACTGCTGCCCAGATGCACTGGCCCCGCAGACCTGGCTCCCGCTGCCAACAGCTGGGTTCTCAGCGCTGCTTTCTCTACTTTCCCAGACTCCATTCTGGGTTCTGGAACTTTCTTTTGCTGCCTTCTCCCTCTTCCTGGTGGCTCACATTCTCCAAGTACCAACAGCTGACGTCTCCATGAGCCGATGCTGGTCTTATCCCCAGGGGCTCCTCCTCCAAACACTGTTAGGTGTTTACTGTCTTGACACAGTTTTGTATAGATTCCCTATCCAAAAGAAAATAGGCTGGGCGCACTGGCTCATGCCTGTAATCCCAAGGAGGATGCCTGGGAGGCCGAGGCAGGTGGATCACGAGGTCAGGAGTTTGAAACCAGCCTGGCCAACATGGTGAAACCCTGTGTCTACTAAAAATACAAAACTTAGCCAGGTGTGGTGGCGGGCGCCTGTAATCCCAGCTACTCAGGAGGCTGAGGCAGGAGAATGACTTGAACCTGGGAGGCGAAGGTTGCAATGAGCCGAGATCGCGCCACTGCACTCCAGCCTGGGAGCAAAATTCCGTCTCAAGAAAAAAAAGAAAAAAAGAAAATAAAGGCCAGTATGGTGGCTCACACTGTAATCCAGCACTTTGGGAGGCTAAGGTGGGAGGATCACTTCAGTCCAGGCATTCCAGATTAACCTGGGCAACATAGCAAGACCCTGTCTCCACCAAAAATACCAAAATTATCCAGGTGTGGTGGTGCACACCTGTAGTCCCAGCTACCTGGGAGGCTGAGGTGAGAGAATCGCTTGAGCCCGGAAGGTTGAGGCCGCGGTGAGCCAAGGTCACGCCACTGCCCTCCAGCCTGGGTGACAAAGCGAGATCTTGCCTCAATAAATAGAAAATAAAACAAGAAAATGAGGACATCCCCGGACTCCGGGTGTCTCTGTTTCTCGTCATCGTCGTTGTGAAGCTTCACTGAGGACACTCAGCTGCTCCTTCCTTCAATGAGTATCCGTCTTTGTCCTCGACACGCTGGGTCTCGGGGCCTCAGATGGAGCAGGCCTCCCTCCCTGGTGCCACTCACTGCAGCCCTGGGCCTCACACACAAGACCCTTGGAGGGACCCCTGCCTGCCTACGGCTCTGCCCCCACCCGCATGTTTGTTGCTTAGTGGGGACATCGCTCCTACGGTGTCCCCCGTTCCTGCCCGGGCCCCGGGGGGCTGTCCCAGCACTCACCAAGGGGACAAAGAAGAGGGAGAAGATGGCCGCTGCAAAGCACAGGACTGGGCCTTGGAGGACGATGCCCAGGACGTGTTGTCGGTACCGAGCCCTGTGGACGGAGCACTGGATCTGCGGGCTCAGCAGGTGCGGGAAGTGAAATGCATACCCCACAATCAGTGCCTGTGGAAAAAGCAAGCTGCAGGGCGCCAGCCCCGAGAGCAGAGGGCCCCCACACCAGTCAACCCCTGGGCTGCACAGCACGCACACATGCAGGGGTCTCGGGGTGGGGAGGACCTGGCCGGTAGAGGTGGGCTTGTACCCGGGACACTTTGGGCACAGGGGCTGAGGTGGAGAGAGAACAGGAGCCCCTGCTGGCTCCTGGGGCTGCATGTGGGGGGTCTCAGGGCCCACTCTTCCCAGTCTCTGGTCAGAAAGCAGGGGAGCTCTGGGCATGCCACATCGTATGCGTCTAGGTGGCCCCGGGCACCCTACTTGTGTGATCCAACAGCGATCGATCGCGCGCGCGCGCACACACACACACACACACACACACACACACAGAGCACAGGCCCCCCTGACCCCTACCTGCACGACCCTGATGGCGATCTCACACACACATACACACACACACACACACAGACAGTGCAGGGCCCCCTGACCCCTACCTGCACGACCCCGATGGTGATCACACACACACAGAACAAGAAGATGCCCAGGGGCACATCAGGGAAGGTCACCATTAAGGAAAACTGTTAAAATAAAAACAAAACCAACCCCCCCCCCCCCCCAAACAAATCCTAGGTTACCAGGCTCCAGGGCCCCAGGGCCTGGAACTGGGCCACGGCAAGCCTCCCCACTCCACGGGAGATGTGACGGGGCCATCACAGGATGCGGCCAGTTGGGTGCTGGGGGAGATGTGTCCAAACTGCCCCCACCCCAACCAACTCCACCAAATGCCTCAGGCCTTTAAAGCCAAAATGTCATCCGATTCATATAGAATTCCGCAGACCCCAGTTCCTTGTGGCACACAGCCCCGCACACTCGGACCAGCGGCCACTGCCAGAATTTGGAGGCACCTTCACAGCCTGAGCAGTACAGGGTGGGTGGCCAGAGGCTGTAGGGGCTGCATGCCAGGGACAGGCCTGGGATGGGCAGGGGGCTGTGGACTCAGGGCCAGGTGGGAGCTAGGAGCGCCAGTGAGTCCCTCATCAGGGCCACTGCCTCCCCTCCCCTCCAGCCTGAAAGAAGCCCCCGGCAGCCCAACAGCTGGCTCTCCCCAGAACCTTGTCGCCCCAGAATGTTCTCACCCCAGAATGTTCTCGCCCCAGAATTTGCTCTCCCCAGAACTTTCTCTCTTCTCTGCAACTGTGTGGCCTGTGCCCTGAGCCATCCAGCTGGTCTGCTTTTGAGGACAGGTCAAATCCAGTGGTGCCCAGGAAAGCCTTAGGGTGTCAGGGGCCTGGCGGTGCTCACCGTGTAAGGCAGGAAGGTGATGGTCATCATGCAGGCCTGGAGGGAGGGAGGGCATCATGGCCATGATGTGGCCTGGGGAGGAGGGCAGGGGGATGGACACAGCCCACTCCGGGAAGGCGCAGGGCTGGGCCCTCCCCAAGAAGGGCGGGCCAGCGAGTGTGAGTCCAGCTCCCAGACCCTGCAGGGCCAGATGGGGGCACTCATCCTCTGTCCCCCACACCTGTGCCCAGCCCAGTGCCCCCTGGTCCCCCACACCCTGGCTCTGTCTGGGAGGAGATACAGGCTGGCGACCCATGGGGAGGGGAAGATCATTCAAGGAGCTCCCAGGTGTGGGCAGACTCCAGGCTTCGAGGCGGCCTGGAAGTCACGAGAGAGGCCGGCTGCTTCCTTCCGTTCTTCCCTGAGAGCCAGATTACAAACCAAAGTCACTCCCCAGAAAAGGACAGGAAAATACTCACCAGGTTGAGCAGGGCAAGTGTGTCGTCTGTTTTCCCAACAACTTGGAACAACCTAAACCATTTAAGAAAAAGACAAAAAGATAATAAAATGCGGTTCCAGTACCATTAAGTGCACACACACTCTCTCCAGCATCTTCTGGTTAAAACATCATTAAGAGATGTCACTTTAACCAAATATAAGCTACTACCTAGTGTACAGAGTTTGGAAAACACGAAGAAGGAAATGAAGTTCCCTAGAAAGCACCCTGCCCCGTCCAGGCGATCTCCACCACTTCCTCCTGATTCACACCCTGCCCCCGTCCACGCGATCTCCGCCACTTCCTCCTGATTCACACCCTGCCCCCGTCCACGTGATCTTCGCCA